GACCACTGTTGTGTCAAAATGAAAATATCTCACCAAAAGCACAGCCATAGCACGTTTAGTTGAAGTACGCAGCCACGCCTACCTCATCTCAGGGATTTCAAGCGTATATGTAAGGACTCCTCAAGCAAAACCAAAATAAAAATCTGACCGAAATCCGAACTACCGTAAGGGAAGTAAGGACTTTTCGCTTGACGGCAAGTGGCCCGATAAATCAACAAGACATACAGGGTTGATACCCCCACTACGACAAAATACTCTACCGCTTAACAGGCGCTGCATGGCGCCTTTTCCAACTGAGGGCACCGTCAATCAAAGTGCAAAATGCCGACCCAGACGCCCACCGCAACCGCCCGCCCACAATGGCCGCAAAATCACATCGACGCTGGGACTCTTGTCGCTGCATTCATGAAGTACAATTCATATGAGCGTTGCTACATGGTTATATGAATACATACGTGCAGCCATATCTATCAAACGGTTGTTGACACGATGCCAACGGGAAACTCGTCCAAAAATGCTCGTCCAATGCCGTGCAGAAACAGGCTTCTTCCGCAGGTCTTCGGCCGTCTTCGCTTTTTCGTTATTTTCCACAATGTGGCACCCTTGCTACAATTTTTGAGCAAGCACCATATTGTCTGCCTTATGCCTTAGAGTTTAAAGGAGGCAGAAGCTCCGGAGGGAGCGAGGAACGTGTGAAGCGCTACATCCAGTCGCGCCGAGTGCGACGAACTTCGACCCGAACTATTGCAAGCGGGATGACGTGCCTAGTTTTCGCACCAGGACCCAATCCATTTAACGTGACAGCAACGCTCCTTATCTGTTGGGTGGTGGTGGAACCAACTCGAGATACATGAAGGTAACTTCATCCCAACGAGGTTACCCAATTTTGCACAAGGAGCCCTTTGAATGCCCCTTCCAGTTATTAGCGCCAGAAACAGACCTCAGAGAAGTGAAATAAATATGAAGGTGAGACTGAAGAACCAGCAAAATTAAGGAACAAAATTCTCACTTTGACGTTCCCACCACAGAGAACGGATTTTGGAATGAACGCTTGCATAGCCGAGTCCATATTGATGGTGTCAATGTCGACCTTGTGATCAAGGCAGGACTTGCTGAAGAAATTAAGCATCACTGAAAAGTTCCAAGAAGGAAAACGTTCAATATAAACTAACACTTGCTTTTCGAGGCAATCCCGGCATACTTTCAGGGCAGCCAGTTCAAGTGCAGCTTCAAGGCTGACCTTCCAGGCAACATGTCCAAGGAAATCCTCGAAAACCTGAACTCAGATCTATAGATTCTCTTTGTACTTCTGAATTCCAAGAGGAATGAGGCTATTCAGTTGGAACAGATAACAACAATAGGACGAACACACCTGTTCATTGAGGTAGAAGAATGCGTTGGATTCAGTCAGCAAGAGCTCATACGCAGACTGAGGGATAAACCTTAGCCTCAGTTCAAAACTGCAATGATATTTTTAAGAGCGCAGTTATAGGTCATCAGATTACAAACATGTTTGGGACGGAAAATTTGAAAATTGCCGGAAATTTTCATACACTTTGAGAAAAAAATAGATCTGCATGCTAGATCGCATGGACCTTTCACCGGTAGGACAAGAAGAAGGAGATTTAGGACATTCGGGTCGGTGGGGGGGGGGGCATTTGCACTTTCGCTACATCCCATCGTCGTGTTCATCGCTTTACGAGAGTTTACAAGTAGTCTTCATGATTTTCGACTGGACCACTTCATGAATTCACAAAATTCCACAAAGCTCTTCTTGATCCAAGCCAAACTCGTGAAGATTTTGATCGAAAATGAGTTCGAATATTCTGTGAAACGCAGAGGGATATGACATTGTGGGTAGAACTTCATCGGAGAACTGTCGATTTTGGGCAGCTTTCGGGGTCGGGAGGGGGAATGAGGCGAATACACACCCGCTCAGTAAAAATGGCCTCGAAGCAGTGACAGACGCCGCCCCCCCCCCCCCTTTAGTTGCTAGCGCCAGTAGCACACGTACCAAAGGTACTCATCAGGTCTACTGGGATGGTGTCAGAAGGTCCCATTGATATTCGCAAGAATATGTGCTATTACCGCTGCTGCCCTAGTACCTCTTTAATCCTTTTTGGGATGCGGCGGCACGCATTCTTTCTCCCATTCAGAATCGTAGTGGCTCAATTAATGCGATGTGACCTATGCAAGGACTTGCTGGGCCAGCCGATGAACAAGTCTAATTTTTTTTTTTTCTCAAATATACCTGGTATCGCGAACCACTGTCCTCGAATGTAAGAAGAGCTGGGAACCCGGGAAGGAAGGAAGCGGTCGCGAGATCTGACCCCGACCGCGCCGTACCGTTCTGTGTTAGTGCACCACCTGCGTCATCGCGCAATCACTAACGGAATTTTGTGATTATACTGAGAACAATTCAGCTTTGTGGGGGGGGGGGGGGGGGCATTTTACTCTCGGTGGAACCTTTTGCTAGTTCATATTGTGTCACAGAGTCTAACCTGTAAAAGTCTGTAAACGCTGTAAAGTGTGAAAGAGCGAGCCACTTACGGTTATAGGAATTACAGGTTCTTCAAAAGGTGGCCTGTCAAGCTACGGCTGAGTAATCAACGGGTGCCCCCCACCAAATCCCGGATTTGTGCCGAAATTTCGTTTGGTAAACTGCACAACTGCCCGCCCCCCCGCCCCCGCCCTTGATCACGTCATAATTACTACGGGATCGTTAATAATATCAAGCGAAAAAGTAGATATCCATAGAGATCCCTCCAACCAAATCGGTAGAGACTATACGCCTGTCGAAGAAAACATCATGAAGCTGATGATTAATTAGTGATGGAACTCATACGCCGAAGAATGGCACGTCACACGTGAGTCGATCGAACGATAGGTGACGGGTAGGCAAAACACTTGAACGCCAACTGTTACATTCCAGAACTGCAGAATAACTACTAGGTGGGAAGAAAAGCATTCTTCCTTCGAAAAAGAGAGAATATCACCAAAAACATCGCTTGCTCAAGCGGCGCGGTTCAGGTTTACCGAGCAGCAAGTGCTCACTTTAAGGCATATTCCGCGATAAGTATGTGGGCGGAGATCCACATATCCTTTTAAACATCAGAGGTACTAGCAGAACTTTACCTGGTCTCACTTCAGTGAGAGTGAGAACTAGCAGAAGGAACCAACGAAAGGGCAAAACACTTTATCACTTTCCTACATGCCGTTTTTCCGAAGTTTTACCGCGAAAGTCAACAATCGGGAAAAATTTCCAGCGCGGCAAATTTCTCTCAAAGGCACATGCGACCCCCCCCTCCACAACGGCCAAGTACGAACCTGGTTTCGCACAACGATGCTGTAAATGACTGCACTGGTGCATGAAAAGGGCTATACTTCCACTTCCTCGTTTACCTAAGAAAGAGCCCCCATGTTGGACCATTGCTCGCGAAGGCCGCTGGAATGATACTTTATCTTGATTGACCTCAGAGCACTAGGATTATAAGCCTTACAATCAAAGCCTTTAATACCAACACTCCATTTCGGCGCGCATACGTCAATCACTCAAGTATGAAGCGTCTAGACGGCCTGTCAAAGCTGTTAACTTCTATGGAAATAAACAACTGGGTTAACATATGAGCCACATAACGCAGCAGATGAGCCATTGTTAACCCCTTTAACAACCGCCCCAACAAGTACCGCATTTACGGTAGCCTGGGATGGGTTTGGCGCGGTGCCAAACCCGTTCTCCACCAGTTGTTAAAGCGAGCAAGTGATATGACTGTATCATATCGTTCGTATTACTCGTTTTCTACCACTTTTTGTCGCATGCGCGCTTCAACAAGAAGGCAGAGAACGGCTTTGACGGCGAACCAGCGCATTTTTGACTTGAAAAATAACGGAAGACATGAGACAGGCGTTCCCCGCCACAGCGGATAACAGAGTATATTTTGACTTCGAAAATAAGGTCGAAAGACGTTTGCGGCGTGGTAGCAAATAGTCCAGCTCAAACATCTGGGAGGAAGTGGCTCGTCGCGCCGCTTCATAAAATTGTGGTTATCCTTTCATTCTATAAACCAGTAACTTTGTGTGTCGGTTTGTATGTTTGTATGTAAGTTTGTATGTATGTATGTATGTTTGTCTGTCCGTCCGCAAAATACTTCACGGGTTCGAGTTCGCTGGAGGCGAAAACGACCGCTAGGCAAACCGGTAACCGACTGGGAGGATGTAGCAGTCCAATGATTTGATTGTGATAACAGCCTCCGCTATATAAGACAACCATTCGGTACACTCCGAGCCATTGCACGAGCTGCTGGCGTGGCAGCTGGACGTGTGCTCGTGCGGGGCAGGGTGGGGTACCGGGTCGCCCTGCCTCCCTCTCCTGCACGTGCTCAGCCGGAGCTGAGCACGTGTATGGGAGGGAGGCAGAGGGGAGGGTCGTGGGAGAGGGGGGTACAGTGAGGGGTGCGTAGCGCGCGTTTCAGTAGAAACGCGCACCAAGGGATGAGGAAACAACCGCTAACAAAACTGCAAGCCAATCTATGTTACCGTAACGAACTAAGAAGTTGTTTTGGTTGTGATAACACTCTCCACTATATAAGAAAAAACCCCAAAAAAAATTTTTTGACCCCAACCCTCCGAGCCATTGTACGGGTGCTCGCGGTGGCAGCTTGCGACGTTAAGCGCGTTGCAGGGCAAGGTGGGGTGGGGGGTGGAGTGGCGAGTACGGAATGGGGTGAGGTGAGGAAGGTGGGAGTTAGTATCGAGTGACCCCCTTCTCCCATCCTCACTCCCTTGCGCGTACTCAGCTGAGCCCATGCAGGGGAAGGAGGCATATGGATTGAATCGGGCAAACTGGGGCCAACCACTGTGATATACTCTGTGCTACTGCAGGAGGCTGCTCGCCTATGGGAGCTGCCGATGTGAGCCACGACAGGGCGGTGGTAAGACGGTGCGGAGTAGTGTCCCTATGTTGCATGGCGGCTGCATACCACGTGCGGGGGTGGGTGCCGGTTAAATAGGGTCAGTGGGATATGATGTGGTGAGGGGATACCAGATGAGAACGGCGATTTCGCGATTAGGAGCACATAGCCCTGCGGCGGTAAGGCGTCTACGGTTGCGATAAGATGGGAAGAAAATGGATCGACCGCAATCGGAACTGAACCGATTAATGTTGCATTATCAAATTGTGGTATGGTAGCGTTTTGATAGTCATAACACCCTCCACAACATAACACAACCATTTATTGCACTCAGAACCATTGCACCGGCTATTCGCGTAGCAGCTGAGTGTGACCTGTAGGGTGGCTGAGCGGGGAATAAGCTGAGCGTGAGGTTGGAATAGTGAGCCGTGAAGGGGTACCATATTGGCGCGACCGACGCTCGCCTGAACAGGAGCACGCAGCGACTGCGGAGACCGAAGAATCCGTGGCTGTCATAAGATGGGGAGGACAGTAATCGATTATCCATGACCAGATTTCAAACCTTTCATTATAAAAGTGCCCTGCGACTATATGGCGCGTTCCTACATTTATTTGATTAGAAGACACCGGTTAGGCACCGTGAGAGGGGGGGGCGGGGGGGGGGGGGGGGGGGGGGGGGGGGGCGGGGGGGGGGGGGGTGAGCCATCATAAATGCCTAAGACAGTAGTATCGCCCTGCTTATGCCTTACTTTGTTCCTTTCTTTCACGAGTTAAGAAGTGAGGCTCTAAAGCAGTTGCTTGAGCCCGGCGAAGCCGGGCTTCCAAGAAGGAGGAGAGCTCGGCGTTAGCCGGGCGATCCGACTGGTTTGAATATAAGAGAAAGAGCTGCTTCCCTCTAGCGCCACCTAATGCAATTGCCGTTTGATTCGGATAAAAAAAAAATGGGTACCTTTCACTTGGGCAACTCTTTTCCACTATTGTCCCTACAACTACGGTTGAACAGACATCAAATTATGTGTCGATGAAGCTTGCAAGCAAAAAAGGCGCCGCTCGGCTTAGGCGGGGGTGGTGGAGCATTCTGCACTTTCGCTGGTTTCTTTTGCCACTTATTGCCAAAAAATATTTTGGTAGGACCTGCAAACCTCTAGGAAGCGGTGAAATGGGACAAGTAAGCCTTTTGGTTACTGGAATTTGAACCAGTTCACAAGATTCAAATTCCTGCAACCAAATGGCTGTAGAAGCATCGTTGGGAGCATCTCGTACGTTGGGTATGCACGGCAAGGGGTAAGGTCGTTAATCGGTGCCCCCCCCCTCTCACCTCGATGATAGCTCTGGGGAGAAAAGCCGGTATAGATCGTGGACGAGTTCACGGAAAGCGTAAGTGGGTGGATGTGGGGAAGGGGGGAGGGGCGTACCAGAAGAGAGTTTCAAGGGGGACGTTTGCATTCTGCAGAATCCCCCCTTCCCAATGGCAGGATGTGCCCTGACGACTTGGTGGCCCA